AAGAGACAAAAGAGCATGTTGTTGCAGGTTCTTGTCTCACGGAGTCCAAGAGTCAATCTCGGGGACAGAAGGGCAAAGTGAAGTGAAAGTTTATTAAGGGAAGGTGAGAACAGAAAGGAAAGAAAAGGAGCTCTCTAGAGTGAGAGGGGTCCCGAATGGGTTGCCACTGAGGGCTTTTATGGTCAGTCTTTTATAGAAAACTGACCAGGGACCTTGGTAAATATCTTGTCCATAACATTTAAGACAAGGGGATTTGTAAATTTTATGAAACTATCTCCTCTTATTTAGAACAAACAAAATGGATTTGTTATGTTCCCTTCTTTCTGGTTAATATCTCGTCTATAACATTTCTCTATCTGGGATTTCTGTGACCCTGGTCACGTGCCCCCCTACCTGTGTCTCCCTACCTAGCCTCGCCTGTCCCTTACTCAGTGTGACTGGGGCCAGCTTCAGACCCAGCCTTGAGGGATCGCTTCCCTGGGCAGGTGACATTTCAGCTGAGATGCGAATGGCCAGAGGGAGGCAGCCATGCACAGGTGCAGGTACCAGGGTAGCAGCCAGATGGAACGGCTGATGGAGAGGTCGGAGAAGATGGGGCAGGGCTAGGGCTGGCCAAGGGCCTGAGTGGAGAGGCCGCGACGCAGATTACCCAAAGCCCAGCCATGTTTGGTCTGCTTGCATCAGCCCCAGCAGGGTCTGCATGGTGAGAGGGACAGGGCCCATCAGCCCCTGCTAGCACTGTGCTTCTGGCTGTCTGTCCTGGGGGAAGCGGGACCCTTGTTCTTGCCAGGGGCAAGAACAGGGCCCAGCTCTGCCAAGGCTGGGGAGGGAAGGCCTAGCTGAATGTGTGTGCGTTTGTGTTTGGGGAAGTTGGTCTAAATCCATGTCACCGTCGGTGGCTTGAGAGCTCTTTAGAGGTACTTAAGCCACCAGGTGGAAGGCCCTTGAATCACATGGAGAAGCTATTCTCTCTAGTCCCATCCCTCTGATTATATCAAGGTCAATGTCCACTTGGTGTTGGTTTGTCCTTTATACCCCCTGACATTTGCTAATCTGGCTTTTTACACGAAGAACAACTGGGCCAGGGATCACAGGCACAGTAACCACCAGAAAGCAATAGTGCTGCTTGTTTTCAGTGTCCCATCCCAGCCACCTCGCATGGTGGTCACTGACTTTTTTTTTTACTATTGTAATATTCCTCCTTTAAAAAATTGTTTTTGTTTTTGCTAACAGCTTATTAAGCTTCCCTTTGAAATAAAATTATTTTAGTAAAAAAAATGAAATCATCTGAAAGAGAAATAGTAAACCATACTGAAGATGGTCAAGGGGAACGGCAAAAGTCATGAAGAAGGTCTGTACAGGAGTGACAAGTTTGGGAAATGTGGGACTAAGATGCTCAAGGCCCACCTCCTCGGTTCCACAACACTCCTTTTCCCAGGAAATTCAATGTTTGTGTTATGATAAGGAAGCAGACCACAGCACTTATTCAAGACTTCCAAATGGAAATTTGATCATGTATTTATTTAGGTATATGCCACCTTGTTGCAAAAAAAAGTATTGTGGCAACTTACAAACATAGATAAAATACAATCGAGTAAAAATAAACAGATCTGGGTAAAGGTTAAGGCAGAAAGCTAGAATGAAGTCAGAGTCCAGTTGGTGACTCAGTACAATTGTTAAAAGTAATCTCAAATTTGACTTTGAGGTTCCCAGCAGCCAAAGCAAAAGAGAAAACACGACTGTCACAAGATTTCTAATAACAGTGAGTTTGGGGCTTTGGTATAGACACAGACCTGGTTCAAATCTTGACTCCTACTACTTGCTAGATTCAGGACCCTGAGCAGGTTGCTTAACTTCCCTGAACTTGAGGTTCATCACCTGTCAGGGGGGAAAGCAATGCCAACCTTGGGGGTTCCTGGGTGCATCCGTGAGAATGTGTGTCCAGGTGCCTTCTAGCTCTAGGAGGGTGCTGCTTGGGTCCTCAGCTGCCCTTAGTCTTCCCTAAGCTGTGGGTCTTCAGCCGTAAAAGGGAGTTGACATCTGTCCCCTCTGTCAGTCCCTACCCTGCCCAAGCATGCAGCATGGAAGAGGCTGAGCCAGATCCCAACAGGCCTCCCTAACTCCTACCCAGGCTCCCTGACAACCATCTGGTGCTGTGTTCTCCTGTCACCAGAGTGGTTTCCAGTGCTGTCAAGGAGAATATGACGCTTTGGAACACAGAGGCTTTCAGAACACTCAAATGATTCCCAGGAAAACCCCAACCTCACTTTTTGGGCTGCCCCCAAGGCAGAGGCCCCCTTCTCTCCTCCGCAGACAGAGCAAATTAAATGTCAAGGCCTAGAAATCTCTAGGGGGAATCCAAGGCAGCAGCCAAAGCCCCTTCATGTGTTCAGAACGCCAGAGACAGCTTCCTTTGCCTTCACATCCAAGGTCAGTAAGAAATGCTGGTCCTCCCCAGTCCAGGTCCTTTCTTATTCGAAGTACCTGTGGCCAAATGCAATAAAAGTCCATGACAAAAACCCATCCCTGCCTCCCATCAGCAATAGAATCAATTCCAATTGTCTTCTTTTCTCTGTTAATTTATACTTGACTTTGTTCCAAATGTGATTGGAGGCAGTCTTTGGCTTGGCATTCAAGGCTCTTTACAGACTGACCCCAACTTCCTTCTTGAGTGTCCTTTCTGGATGCAGTTTGTGGCCTGGTCACACTTCTGGAGCTGCCCCTGGAATGCCATGCAGTTGGCAAACAGCATGAACTGACTAGCACTGAAACCCCGATCTGCCACAGACTAAGCCACTGTGTGACCTTGGGTAAGTCCCTTCACCTCAGTTTCTTCATCTATAAAATGGGCACATTCCAAGTACAGACCTTCCCTGTTGTGACGAAGCAAGAATATGCACCAGGTATGCTTGGCCCACTTGATGCTCAGTCAGTGGTGATGCTTAGATGACCTGATTTTGAGACCTGGCTCCCCACTTAACTGCTTTCATGACGAGTGACCCATGTCTGGGCTCCAGTTCGACTATCTGTAAAGTGAGGAAAATAACTCTATCTACCACAAAACCCCACACACTAAGGCCTGAAAACAGAAGGGGCTTAGTGAAAGTTTGGAGGCTGCAGCCAGCATCATCCCCCCCCCAAAAAACAGTCTTGCTTGTCCTTCCATTTTCCCAAATCCCATCCTTTCTAACTTTCCTTTTTCTCAGACTACTGAGCAAGAGGAGTCTGAACACTTCTCGCATGGTTAGGCTGTGATATCATGAAAGACACAGTCTTGTAAAACCCACACCCAGGGCCAAGGGAAATGCAGCCCCCTGAAGAGACTGTTCGGTGGAGCCCGCCGATGGTTGGGTGGGGGAGGCTGGATGTGTCCACCACTATGAGTCAGGCCTTGCTTGGCTGGCTATCCTCATTCCCCTCTATTTCAGGGGTGAGTTACAGCTTAAACAAAACATCACCTGACCATGCCCGAAAGAGACGTCTTCTGCACGAAATGCTTTTCCTTACACTCTTGGGTGTGCATACAGATATGCAGGAGTTGGCATGCGGACAGATGAGGGGAGCAGGGTCAGGGGGTGGTGTAGCGATCAGCAGTAAATACTCTCAAAGGTGTTGGGATGGACTGCGTCCTTGGGAGTCTACGGCCTTCCTAGGCAGAGCTGCCTCTGAGCTGGAAAAATAAAGGCAATAGACAAAGCCCTTCTGGAAGATCAGCAGTGTCCTGTTCCCCAGCAGCATGGCCCCAAACGACTCTCTAAACCTCTCTGGGCCTCTTTCTCCTTTGGTGAAACAGGGAGTTAGACTGGTGAACTGCCTAGCTCTAAAAATACTACCCAAAGCAGATGAGGGGAAGGCTTTAAGGTCTATGTCCTATGGGCTGCCTGGGTCTGAGGCTCAGGGGGGGGTCACCAGCAGCACCAGGAGAGACGGCCCACCTGTGCATCCTCAGCCCCAAGGCCCGGGCTCAGGGCGGTCCTGGCACCAATAACTCTGAAGCCTGGAAGAGCCTGGTCCACACCCCCCCTTCTCCTTCCTTCCCAGCTTCCACCCTCTAGCACCTCCCTGCAACCATAAGGTCCAATGCCTCCCCTGGACCCAACCGCTCAGATCTCAACCTCCCCCAGCACCCCCCCCCCCAACAAAATAAACCACGAAAAACCTGCTGGGTCATTCCACCAAATGACCGGGTCAGGACTGACAAGAAAGCGGGGATCTGTTTCATCCTGGCACCACCCCAGCCCTGTCCAGGGTCTTGCTCACAGCAGACCTGAAGGTATCCCTGAGTACATCTAAGCTGTGGGTTCAAAGGTCCAGAGAGAAAGGACAACATGGACCCCAGGCCCCAGGGCTCTGGGAGGGGCTGAGGACAGGTCCCATGGCCTGGGTATGTAGCCAAAGCCGGCACTTCTGGGCGGAGAGGGGGCCTCGGGGCCTGGCCCAGCTCCCCACCCTGGTAGAGTCGGGTCTGGCAGGCAGCTGCCGGCGGCCTTCTCAGCTGCTGCCGCAGAAACAAATGACAGCACTGAGGAGGAATAAGAGAAAATAAACATGAATACAGAGGGAGGGGAACTTGGAACAGGGGCTGGTATTTTTCCTCGGGTGCGGTTTCTGCTCAGTGGCTGGGTGACCATGGAGGTTTGGAATGTGGTTGGACAGAGGGTGAGGTGGGGTGGGGGGGTGGCCAAAGGCAAGGAGCAGGAACATTAGCCAGGGGCCTGAAGCCCAGGGCCACCAACAGTTCAGCCAGAACGGGGGCCGGGGGTGTTTACGCAGTGCGCCACACTAGTGCGGAGGTTCCCGAGGCCTCTGCTTTTGAATGGCCCTGGGGGGAAGGGAGACAGAGTTGAGAGAAGAGAATCTAGAGGAGTAGGGAGAGGCCTGGAGGTGAAGGTGAGCACGGTCAGGTCTCCTCATCTGTAAAACAGAGCTGTTGTGACGGCATGGCCTGCCTGATCCAAACTGAGGCTGTTCAGGCAAGGGACAAGGTCTCTCTGGGCCTCAGTGTCCTCATCTGTTAAATGGGCTTAATTATCCCTACCTCCAGGGGTGCTACTGGGAGGACTGAATGGGTTTGTGCATGTGAAGCTCTTGGCATAGTGCTCTGCAAGTGGAAGGGATTATTAATCCACCGGGTGCCAAGGAAGCTTTATCCTGGCTGCGCCACGTGCCTAGCACCTGCCCCGGGCCTGGACCCCCATAAATATGTGCTGACAGAGCCCCTGCAGGAGTTGCTGTGGGGGAGCGACGCCCACGGCCACTCCTCTCCTGTGAGCACCGGTCCGGGCTCAGACCACGAAGTGGAGGGTGTAGGTGAGCTGGTGGCCGTTGTCCCAGGCGTACAGCACGCGCTCCTTGGGGTTGTAGTCAATCTGGGTGGTGAAGGCGTGCTCGTTGAGGAAGGGCAGCTGCGGCCGGGCGTCGGTGCCCGTGTGCGTGTCGAAGGCGTAGGCCACCTGGCCCTCCTTCTGGTTGTACGTGTCCACGGCGTACAGGATGCCACACACCAAGAAGCAGTTCCCGTAGGAGTTCCGCCGTAGCCGTGTCCTCCACGTGGTCTCCCGGTGCGTGGACAGGTCACCGGGGTCCAGGCGGCTCAGCACGATCACCTCGGGCTGGGCCTCGTCCTGGTCATCCGCGGCGGGGTAGATGACCCACAGGCCGCTCTCGTCCACGGCGAAGTCGATGTCCGAGTGGCCGCGCCACTTCCAGGGCGTCGTGTCCTCATAGACCACGTCGGGCAGCAGTGCCCAGGAGGCCACGAAGCGCTGCCGCAGGTCGTACTTGATGATGTTCTTGGTGAAGGCGCGGTTGTAGTAGAAGGCGCCCTGGTACACCACGTGGCCCGTGCCGATCCAGTTGTAGGGCAGCTTGTACATGTTACTCCAGCGGCCTGTGTGTGCAGGGCAGATGTTTACACCAGGGACGGGGGGCCGGCCAGGCCACCCAGGGCTCCCGAGTGGCCCAGCAAGCAGGGGGATACCGAGTAGGCTATGGGCTCGGAGCTGGGCCAATCATCTTACCCCACGACCACCGCGAAGCAGGTACTGTTAGCATCCCCCTTGTCAAGGAGGAAACAGGGTCAGAGGGTTCAAGGTCACCCAGTTATGGACTGGCACAGCCAGGATTTAGACAGCCCCAGGGCTTTGTCTCAGGGCCTTTGTCCAGGCTGTTTCTTTTGTCTGGACTGCCATTCCCCGTCCTATCTGCCTGGGGAATGCCTCCTTATCTTTCAGAGCCCTCCACCAATACTACCTCCTCCAGGAAGCCTTCCACCACCTCCCCGGGCCTGAGTGAGGGCCTCCCCTCTGGCCTCCCATCACCCGTGTCTTGGCACTTTTCAATGGCTTCCTCCACACCAGCCTGTGAGCCACCTGAGGCAGGCATCAGGTCAATTTTGGATCTGGCAGAGGAAGGACTTTGGCTGTTCCAGGCCATATCCGGTGACTCCACGGCTCTCAGGATAAATCCAAACTTCGATGTGGCTCCTGAAGTCGGCCTGAGCCTACTCTCTCCTTATGCTTCCCCCACCTCCCTTCTAGGCCATTCTGCTTCTCATTGCCTGGCCTTGGCACGCACTGGGCCTTCTGCTTGGAACACCCGGCCCTTTCCCTTGTCTATGGCTTCTTCCTATCTTCCTCCAAAGCTCAGCTAAACATCACCTCCTCCTCTGGGAGGTCTTCTCTGATGTCCAGGCTTGGGTTCCACAGTCCCTTGAGCTCTCCCTCAAACACTATACTGAAGTTATTTCCTTAGGTCTTTGCCTCTCACTTCAGACAGTGCATTTCTGGAGGGCGGGTGAGGCCTAAATGACCCCTCCCCCATCACGCCCCAGATCTGATAACCAAAATTCTGCCCTTCCCTGCCCAGACTTGCAGCTCCTCAAAGGCCTGGGGCTCTGCTCACCTGTAAAACAGAGTAATGACCTCCCCCCCATAGCATTACAAAACTACCATGAGCTGACGCACATGGCGTGATTAGCACTTAGTAAGTACTCAAGAGAAAACCCTAAGTGTTGTTCCCCTTGACAGTAAGTTACGCTCCTGAGGGCAGGACCTTGTCCATCTTGTTTGTTGCTGCATTCCTGCTCCTGGCTCCATGCCAGCACACAGGGGGTGCCCTCAGATGCCCCTCACTGGGGTGGCTGATCATGTGGAGCTAGACCAGGCTGGGACATTCCGGACCACGGGAAAGCACAGGCACAAGAGGGCCCAGTCTCCATGGGAGACCCTCCTCAGGCCGCCCACCCCCTGCCCTCTTTCCAACTCCCAGCTCTCCAACCTTGCTTGAAGTTTTCCAGATTGCGGAACTCCACCAAGCTGTTCCCATAGTAGTAGTTGGTGACATAGATCCTGTCATCTTTGGCAGCAGGGTCCTTCATCCAGGCTCCCTCATGGCGCCCGTAGCTGTGGTGCCTCACAGGGGGGTCCACGGCCCGCAGGGTGCCCTCACAGCTCGTCTCTCTGCCTGTGGGGAGTGAGGGGTGCAGCATTCGGTCCTCAGTCCCACAGGCCCCGGAGCCAGAGCCACAGTCCAGGAACATTATCTGGGTCTTACTTAACCCCCTCCTGATATTTTGTTTACAGCCTTTTTTTTTTTTTTAAGATTTTTTTTTATTTGAGAGAGAGAGTGAAGTGGGGAGAGGAGGGCAGAGGCAGAGGGAGGAGCAGACTCCCCACGAGCAGGGAGCCCAATGTGGGGCTCGAATCCAGGACCCCAGGACCATGACCTGAGCCGAAGGCAGACACTTAACTGACCGAGCCACCCAGGTGCCCCATATTTGCAGCCTTTTTTCCCCTTTCCTTATGATCAAAGCAATGTCTGATCAATGTAGAAAACAGAACATTCAGCAAAGGAGAATGAGGAAAATAAAAATAATGAAAAATGTCAATATCCAAAGAAAATTTTAAATATGTTGTATTTCCTTCCTTTTTTTTCTTTGTATATAGTCATGTAGACATACTTTTAAAAACCGTGGTTCTTCTGGATTTACAGTTTTATGTATCCTGTTTTTTCCCTCCACTGAGCAATTTCTCACATCATTAAATGGTTTTTAATGATGTGATTTCAAGGCTCTACCAGGCCACCAGACAGCTGTGCCCCAGTCCCCTCGGTGTGAGATCTTCAGATTATTTCCAGTTTTCTGATGTTGGAAATGGGCTGAGGGTGAGGGGCAGGTAAGCTGCGGCTGCTGTGCACATTGCTGACGGACCCTTGAGGAAAGATTCCTGGAAGTGGAATGCACTCGGACCCAAGTGGGGAATGGATTTAAGAAGACCTTGTCATCACAGGTAGCCAAGATGCCCTCCAGAAAGATGGGCTCGATGATTTAATGGGAAAGATTTCTACCAACAGACAAAAGCCAAATGTACAAATGTGGACAGAAAAAAGTAAAGAAGTGGGAACAGTTGCTGGATTTGATGATGGGATTCTAGGTGACATGTTAGGAAGGATTTGTTGAAAATACTACCTGTATGACTACCAGTGTCCTCAAGCTGTCTACAAAGGATCAGACAGTAAAGATTTTAGGCTTTCCAGAGCACATGTCTGTCCCGTATTCTTTTTTTCACAACCCTTTAAAAATGTAAAAACTGTTCTTAGCTCAAGGGCCATAGAGAACCAGGCTGCAGGCTGGATCTGGCCCATGGGCTGTACCCTGCTGACCCCTGTGAGGCTTACTCACCTTGGCTCGGGACATCTGGGTGTGAAGGTGGCTCAGTGGGCTGGGGCCGGGTGGTGGGAGTCGGGGTGGGGGTGGTGACAGGGTCAGAACTGAGAGTGCCAGAGGCCAGGTCCGCTCCCGCTGAGGCCCTGGGCCCAGCCTCATCATGTTCTGCTGAGTTGGGCTCCGGTGACCTGCCCTCCACCCTGGGCGGCCGCTGTTCTAGCCAGGAAGTGCTCTTGAGGGCGTTGTCTGCGGAGAGAGAGGACCCTGTGCTCACGTCTCATGCGGCTGCCCACGGTCCTCCCCAGGCCCACCTGGCTCCCAGTTCTGGGGCCATGGCGGAGAGAAGCGGGGAGCCCCTGAGGAGTGAAAGGCCTCCACAAGTGGGTGGTGGGGAGGCTTTGTGGTCAGCAGACCGGCTGCAAGCCCCCCAGCTGAGTGACCTCAGCCAAGTCCCCTGCCTCGGTGGGCCTCAGCTTCCCCTTCTATGAAACAAGAGTCATAAGGTCCACTGTGTTAAGCTGTTGTGTTGATTAGAGGAAGATGTATACACATCATTTGCCCAGGTCCCGGCATGCATGAGGTGCCGAACATGAGACCCCTTCCCTCCTAAGTGTCAAACACTTTGTCCCAATTCTTTCCCGTCCCAATTCCAACTCTAGGAGGGAGGAAACCTCGCTCCCATTTTACAGACTTTTTTCTGCTGGTCCTCTCCTCTGGAACCCAGCCAACAGCTCCTCTCACCCAGCATTTGCCGCTTTAAGCAGGGAGGGGCAGGGGCAGCCAGCCTCCCGTCACCTCTGGACCCCAGGTCTCTGTCTCTCTGCCCCCTCACTCAGCTCCTATCTCTGATCTCGAGGCTTTCTGGGCAGCCCCCCGCCCCTCATCTCGCTGGCAAAGCCTTTGCTGATGGGATGACTTTTTCAGCTCCCATGGGACGTGTCTGGGGCCATCTCTGGGTCATCCCTGACCCACACACTTGTCTGGGCTGGGCTGGATGGGGTCTGGGTAGGAAAAACAGGAAGATTCAATGCCACACAGCAGGGGACAGAGCTGGGGAGGGGTCTCAGGCAGGCTCTGTAGCCCACTGAGCTGGGTTCCTGTCCCACCAACTTGCTGTGAAACCTGGAGCCAGTCTCTTCACCTCTCTGAGCTTGTTTCCTCACCTGGATCAAGTCCAACAGGGTGTGTGAGAACCCACAGAGAACTGTGATGCCAGGGACAAAGGAAAGGGGACAGTGTGGCCCCCAGGGGCTAAGGCCCCTTGACGCCAGGACAATTACCTGACTTCTCTCATTTTCTCTCCCTGCCAGGCTTCCTCTTTGCATAGGGTTTAGCCAGGCCTGTTGTGGGGCAGCCCCTGGGGTCTCTTGGGAATGGGGCACACCCTTTGGGGGGGTGGCCTTGGCAGCTGGCCAGGGCCAGGGCCTGGTTCCCACGGGCCTCGCTGGCAGAGCCAGCTGCTTGCAGCTGTCCTTGGGCAGTGCCCCGCCAGGGGTCAGAGGCGCTGTACTGTGGCCAGGAGGAGCTAGCAGGCCTCAGAGCCAGCAGCTACCCCCGGGGGGTCTGGGAAGAGGCCCCCTGAGCCTTGAGAGGCCAAGAATTTAGGGGGGGGGCTCTTGAATTCCACCTCCTGGCCCGTTGGACATGGGGTGGGCAGAGGGCCTCACTGAAGGAGGTGGTCAGCAGGACCCAGGGTCAGGGAGCAGGCTTGGGACACCTCTCTGGGACATGAGAGGAGAGCAGGCGTCTGGGGAGGGCCTCAGAGGAAGAATCAGGAGCCACACCAGTGGGAACGGCCTAGAAATTTGGGTACTCCAGGGACTTTTGTCTCTTGTGGGGTTTTTTTTGGTTAATTACTTGGTTGCCCTTCAGTGTTATCCCCCATGGATTGCAGGAAAAATACAGGACTCTGTGGGCTCTTCCTTGGAAAAATAAGAAGTGGGAGGCCATCCATTCCAAGGAAATAAGAGGTGCTCTGAAGGCCCCATAACACTTCCCAGAACCCTGGCCTGGCTCCAGCCCCTGGGGGGATTCCCACCCCACCTGTGGCCGCTGCCTGGTTATGGGTATGTTTTTTCCCACCGGACTGTGAAGTCTACGTTAGGCAGAGTCTCTGGGAGATGTGGCATGTACATAGTGGACCTTCAGCAAATCTTTGAATGAAGAAGGAAAAGTCCAGTGAGGGCGGAGGTAGCTGAAAATGCTGGAGAGGAACCGAGTGGCCCTTTGTGTTGATTCAATCATTTCATCCCCAACAACCCCACGAGGGGTACTATCTCATTGTGTGGATGAGCAAAGGGCACCAACAGGTAACCAGTACAGCTGAAATCTGGGGCAGTTTGACTGTAGAGAAGACAACGGATCCCCGCAGGCGATCCTTGCTTGGGATGCAGCCACCCAGCAGCAAGCCCCCACTCCCCTGGGGTCCGGTCCTCCACCAACTCACCGGCCACGGCCTCGGTCACCTCCTTCCCGCCCGCCTTGTAGTAGGTGATGCCTCGGATTATGGCCTGCTGCTGGGCCAGGGTCCGGGGCTTGGCTGTGGGTTGGGGGAATTTGCCCTTGCCGCCCTCCTTCCTCAGCTTCTCCACCTTCAGCAGCTTCTCCTTAGGAGGTTTTGTGAGGCCCCTGTCTGCAAAGGTCTTCTGAACATTGCCGTATTTGTTGTCTTTGCCTCTCCCTCCAGCTGTGTCCTGAGAGAGAAGGGAAATCTCAGACTTAGGGGCGGGGGAAAGGGTGTTGCGGGAGGTCATGGAGGCTCAGCTTCGGGGGGTGGGGGGTGGGGGTGGGGAGGCTGGAAATGGTCACGTTGCTCTAGGCCCTAGGTCTCAGGTGCTCGTGAACTCACAGCTTTCCTCCCATAGTGGCTACATCCATGACTGGGGTGGCCTCAGTTTCCCCACTCAGCTCTCCGGCTCCCCTGCAGGCTTGAAGCCCAACCAGATAGGCTAAATTCCTGTTCCATTTACAAACTACGGCATACTCACCCCCAGGGGGTAGATTATAATGGTTAATTCCCTAAGGAGATAGCTGCTCAGGAGGTCAGCTTCCCATCCCTGTCTCTCTCTCTCTCTCTCTCTCTCTCTCTCGCTCATGGGTCTTTTTTTGTGGGCAGGGGCGAGGTTTTCAGGCTCTGGGGCAGGGTGTTCAATCCATCTCCGTGTGCCTGGAACTTTCCCAGTTTCAGCACTGAAAGTCCCGCGTCCCGGGAAACCCTTCAGTCTCAGGCCAACTTGGACGGTTGGCCACTGAGGCCATTGCCCTTAGCGCATGCAGTTTTTCTTTCTTTCTTTCTTTCTTTTTTTTTAAAGATTTTATTTATTTATTTGACAGAGAGAGAGAGAGAGAGACATCAAGAGAAGGAACACAGGCAGGAGGAGTGGGAGAGGGAGAAGCAGGCTTCCCACGGAGCAGGGAGCCTGATGTGGGGCTCCATCCCAGGACCGTGGGATCATGACCTGAGCCAAAGGCAGATGCTTAATGACTGAGCCACCCAGGCGCTCCTCACATGCAGTTTCTAACTTTCTGTAGATTTTATTCTCACTTCCTCTTAAAGGCCTCTGATGCTGGCTTGGCACAAGAACAAAGGCCCCGTGACATCACCCACTGTCAAGCAGAATCTCCAGGAGATACAGCAAGTGCAGTCTCTAGACCTGCCGTGCTGTGGCCCAAACAGCATTCATTTGCGCCTGTGGACTTGACACGGGAATGAGCAGGAAGCCTGCCCTGGGCCAAACGCACCAGGCTTCCTCCACGCTTTATCAGCAACGAGGCGGTCCCGGCCACAGACACAGATGGGCACAATGTCAGCACGGGGGGCCAGGAGGTGGAGAGGAAGAGCCTGGGCTTGTCAGTCACGCAGATGCAGCTTCCAGTCCCGGTGCGGCCCCCCTCTCCCCACGGGGCGTCACTCTATGCCTCCTCGTCTGCCCAACGAGCAATGATTTTCCCTCCCTTGTAGGTGGCTGTGGGACTAACTGAGATCATGTCTGTGAGCAAGTCAGCTTTAAACTTTAGAAATCAGATGTAGAGGCTGTCAGGATCCCCCACTCCAAACCGCAAGGCTGCTGTGGGGAATGGAGCGGCTGTTTCCTACACGAGGATGACTGGCCTAAGGGGCACAAATTACACTGAAATCCAGGCTGTACTCCTATTTGCCAAGCCACACTCCCTAGGGTGTATCTATCATAGGAAGGAGCCTCTGGAAAATTTGCCCACCTACGGGGAGCTTCTCTGCATTTGCCCAGAGGGACTGCCTTTCCGGCAATTTGTCGAGAAGAAGGCCTTTTACAAATGTGCATAAAGGTGTATTACAGATCTTGGGTGGCTCTGCCTGGTGTCCCTGCTCACTCTGTGCTGAGCTTGAACACGGAATGTCTGGGTGTTATGCTGTAGGAATTCTCCACCCCAGACTGGGTTGATGAAATGGTGTTAATCTGCAGGGTCCCCAAGGCATTGCCCACCTGCCCCTGAGCAGGCATGACCCAGCCAGGGGCCCAACCATACTAGGGGAGGCTCGAAGTTGTTTCGGTGCAGCCAACCTGGTTCCCCAGGGCCAGACAGGGAGGGTCATGCCTCAGTTTTGTCTCTGCTAGTTTGGGAATGGGAATGAGAACACCACCACATGCCTTCCTCAGCAAACAGAGCCCTCAGCTGGATCCCCACATCTGCTCCCAGCTTACCTCTGTCAGTGGTGCTCGCTGCACGGCAGGCCCCCGCCCCCCACCCTGCAAGGGACTCTCCAGCTGTGCTAGCCCTCAGCCCTGTCCTATGACCCCAAACCCCCATCCAGCTGGCCCTCGGGACTGAGGTCGTGGCAGACTGTGTTCCCAAATCCACCCACCTTCTGGCCCGATCACCAGGGCCATGGCCTCACCTGAGCCTTGCTGGCAGGGCCGGGTGCTGGGGCAGCGGCCGAGACTGGGGCTGCATCCTTCTGCAGCAGCTGGAGGCCCAGGCTGGAGAGCTCCTTCTTGATGCCCATCATGATGGCCGAGTGATTCTCATAGCGCTTCAGCTGCTCACTCAGGTGGCGCATGCTCTCCTTCACTACCTCGTTCTCCCGGCTCAGGTTCAGCTTGACGCTCTGTGGGGGCAGGACTCCAAGGTCTTTCTAGCCTCCTCTGACAGCCACCCCGCCCACCTCCCTGGAGGGGGACAGCCCAGCTTCGGCTGTCAGGCTTCACGGCCCAGGCTCCTGAGGGGGGCCCAAGGGGGCAGGTGCTGGGTGGTGGCACCTTTATCCACGGGTGGATAAAGCATGCTGCCAAGAGACCACATAATGATTAATGATTACTAAAAAATGAATGAGTGATGTTGTTCCTTTGGGCAGAGGGAGTCAGTTCCTCCCGAGTGAGGCTGTTTTCTCTACCTCCACCCAGAGTTAGCAATAAGCATTTTTTTTTTTTTTTTAGAGTTATCACTTAGTGAACAGAAGCAAAGCACAGATAATGCAAAACAGAAGATAATTAAAAAATCATTTCTTTGTGGCTGCGGAAATCATTTCTGATTTGTTCCAGCCACTGCAGACATACTCTCCAGATTGTCTGGCTCTTGGTTACATGAAGTGAGTTAACATTTTCCTAAGATTACAGGAGGAAGGGTCAAAGGGGTATAACTGCAGAGCTAGCAACAGGAGAGCCCGGCATCTACTAGGTGCACAGAGAACACTGGTGCACAGTAGAAGTCCAACAACTGATAACCTTACTCCCATGCTGACAAGGGCCTTACACCTAGGAGATACACACCAAACACTTCTTGGATAATTAAAGCCACTGTGACCCCCACTTCGGGGAGAGTAAGGGGTTAATCTCCCACCCTGGCGCACAGGATGCCCAGGTGCCCCCTCCCTCCGGAAAGGAAGCTGGGAAAGGAAGCCCCCACACCCCGCTCCTGGCAGCTGCATGTCCCCAGGCTCCCAGCAGCCCAGCAGGGGCCGGATGCAGGAAACGGGAGGAGGCCGGGCCCGTGCCAGCAGAGATGCGTGCCAGCAAACCTTGAACCCGCAGCCTGGACCCCCACGATTGCCCAACTCTGTCGCTGCCCTCAGGGGGCAGTCCTGGCCACCTGCCTAGCCCTCTAGCACATCTGCACTGACCAGAAGATGCTCGGCCCCTCAGCCTCCACTGCAAGTGGGGCCTGGGCCAGCCATGCTGTCTTAAGCCCTGCCCCAGTGAGCTTGGCCAGTCCTGGACTTTTATGTGGCATTTTATGTGACCAGTGGCCTTGGAGTTGTGCCATGTATGAGGTCCCGGTCTTGGTGAACTGAGGGCCACTGCAAGTTCCTGCCAGCCCCCTCCACATCCCTTTCAGACAATCAGCTGGTGCCTCAGTTTCTCCACCCAGCCTCTCAGCCTCCTGTAGGCCCATGAGCCCCAGTCAGACCCCTTTTCCAAAGTCCAGACCCAGAGGCCTGCCTCTCCCTCTCCCAGCTCCCTGCTGGACTCCAGCTTTCCGCAGCCACCAGGGTAAGGCAGAATGGCCCAGGCCCCTTCCGACACGGCCCCTGGGCCCCAGTGTTGACCCAGCCTGGCTCCGGGGCAGAGCTCTGCTCTTACCTCTTCCAGCGTGTTCATCTGGGAGGCCACCTTGTGGACATAGGCGTGCACTTTCATCAGGTCCATGCTGTACAAGGTGCCCTCCAGGAGATCCACCATGGACTGGAGCTGCCCGGGAAAGGGTAAGGGGTCAGGGCAAGGGCAGAGCTCAGGATCAGGCACAAAGGCTGCAAAAAGAGCCCCACCACTTGCAATGGCCTACGTGGGCCCTCGGCACCCACTAGACCCAGCTTGCTAGTACTCATCGTGGGAAAAGCCGCAGATTCCATCTTTTGAGCACGTACGACACGGCAGGCCCTGTGTGAGGGGCTGTAATGAGCTGTTTCACTTTGTCCTCGTGACAACCCCACGAGGTGTATAGTGGACACTAGAGGAGATCAGTCTGCATGCCCTGGGATTCCTCTTTCTTGTTTCTTGTGCCCATACCTGGTTTCCATGTGCCTTTATTTTTATTTATTTTTTTAAAGATTTTGCCTATTCCTTTGACAGAGACAGAGAGGAGAGAGAGAGAACACAAGCAGGGGGAGCGGCAGGCAGAGGGAGAAGCAAGCTCCCTGCTGAGCAGAGATCCCGATGCAGGACTTGATCCCAGGACCCTGGGATCGTGACCTGAGCCGAAGGCACAGGCTTAACCCGACTGAGCCACCCAGGTGCCCCATGTGGCTCCTTCTTAACAGCCTGCATCTGTGACTCTCTTCAAAGAGACGCTGTGTCCCCAAACTGCCTGGGAGAGTATGTCCTCCTGGGGCAGTCCTTCGGCAATGCCTGACAGGTGCAGGCATCCAAGGGCCCAGCTCCCTAGCCCCAGTGGGGACAACTGAGCTGTCATTCACACTCCACATCCCCTGGGGCTGACGCTGATGCTTGGCCTGAGATCACATCCTATTGGGCTTCCTTCTCCTCCCACCTCCACTTCTTTCATTTTGGTACCAGCTTCTCTTGGGAACATTTTTTTTTAATTTTTAAAAATTTATTTATTTGACAGAGAGACACACAGCAAGAGAGGGAACACAAGCAGGGGGAGTGGGAGAGGGAGAAGCAGGCTTCCTGCCAAGCAGGGAGCCCGACGCAGGGCTCGATTCTTGAGAACATTTTCATAATAAATCACTGCAACACTAATCACTTGCCTCAGAGTCTGCACCTGGGGACCCAAACAAAAACAAGGTCGGGACAACTATTTTTTTAAAGTAATCTCTATGCCTAACGTGGGGTTCGAACTCACAATCCCAAGATCAAGAGTCACGTGCTCTTACCCACTGAGCCAGCCAGGCGCCCTGACAAGGTCTGGACCACTTTTATCTTCATCTCACACACAGAATGGGAAAGTGCAGCTTAGGTGAAGTGACTTGTCCAAAGCCACCCGGTTGTTAGGTGGTGGGGCCGGCAGCAGAACCCAGATTGGTATAAACCAAAACTTCTTTCCTATCATGCTTTACCATTCCTTCTTGTGTTCAGATGGGGAAACTGAGGCCAAGAGATGGGGAGGAGCTTGCACAACAAACAGGTCAGTGGCAGATGCTGGGTCGTCCTGGCCCAGCCCTCGGCTCCTCCTTGCAGCTGCCCCTCCCCTTCCTCTCTCCCCCGTGCGTCCTCAGGATATGATCTTCCCTCCGGAGAGCCAAGATGCCAGTGAGGGTCAGGGAAGCCGCAGCACAAGGGCTGGCTGGGAAATCAGCTTCCCCCGGCTTCTTGAGAAGGGCAGTTCCTCCAGCCCACCCTCTCACATGGCCCCACTCTGAGCCCTGCAGCATTTCTCAGGGTTTGAGCAGGCCAGCGCTCCTGTCTGGCCCTGGTCAGCTATTTCCAAAACAGTTTGACTCCCACTCTCCCAGGGGTGTTCGAGCTGTTTTAAGCCAGAGAGCCTTTCTTGGAGTAGACATTAATCTCTAAAATGGAAAAAGGGAGCGGAAAAGTCTTAGGGAAGCAGGGATTGGACCTTGAGTCTTGTCTGCTCCTCTGGAACCTTGCTCAGACTCTGAAGACTTGCTCAATACCCCTTGGGCTCTGGGGAGCACAGTGTGAGAACCATGCACATACCCTTATGTGCTTCGGCTTCCTTCTCTGAGGCCATAGCAGTGTGTGGACAGGGCTCAGCACAGAGCAGGTACACAGCAAGGGGTCCATGAATGTCAGCAGTAATGATACTATTCCACGGGGCTAAAGGGGATCCTCCCAGCTTCACTCTGCTGCCTTCGTGGCCACCAAAACTGGCTTTCCAAAGCACAGGTTTGACCCTGGGTCTCTCTCCCTTGCTAGATAACTTTCATGGCTCCCCACTGCTCTTGTGTGGCTTTGCACCTCCTAAGCCTGGCATTCGAGCCCCCCATGGTCTGCCCCTGCATCCTCCTTGAGCTCAGCAAATGTTTCCTCTGGGCCAGGCACTAAGGACAGTGAGGAGTAAGACAGACACAAGCCTTCATGGTCCTTCACAGGCTGTGAAAGAACAGAGAGTGACAGAGAGGTGCCCAGAGCATTAATGACAGAGCGCTGACCTTGTCAAGGAGCAGATGCGGATTAGTAAAGTATGCCAGGAAGGAGTTTTGTTGGAGCTGAGCTCTGCAGGAAGAACACAAATTAGGCGGAGATGGCAGGAGAAGGGCATTCCAGGCCAAGAGAAGCTTGTGCAAAGAGCTGGAGGTGAGAAGAGATATGGCGTGTTTGGGCCATGCTACTCAAAGTGCGGTCCGCAGACCAGCACCGGTCCAAGCTACTTGTTACTCATCTGTGATAAAATAATCGCAAAAAGTGAGAGTAGACTTTTATAAACTTTCAGAACCCTTTGACAGAGAAAATTTTAAAAAGATTTTTATTTATTTATTTGAGAGAGTGAGAGAGAGAGAGCACAAGCAGGGGGAAGGGGGAGAAGGAGAAGCAGACTCCCCACTGAGCAGGGAGCCCTATTTGGTGCTCTATCCCAGGACCCCGGGACCATGACCTGAGCTGAAGGCAGACGCTTAACCGATTGAGCCACACCGGTGCCCGACAGAGAAATTTTTATCTGTTGACTCTAACAGCAAAACCCTGGACTTGTATTTTGCATGTCTGCTTTTGTTTCATTTTTCTAATAATTCATTTTTATGGCATTTTCCAGAAGTACTGGTTCTTGTTTTTTAAAAATTAGTCTTGGGGCGCCTGGGTGGCTCAGTCATTGGGCGTCTGCCTTCAGCTCAGATCGTGATCCTAGGGTCCTGGGATCGAGCCCCATGTCGGGCTCCCTGCTCCGCGGGAAGCCTGCTTCTCCCTCTCCTGCTCCCCCTGCTTGTGTTCCTTCTCTTGCTGTGTCTCTCTCTGTCAAATAAATAAATAAAATCTTTAAAAAAATAAATAAATAAAAATTAGTCTTTCACCACAGATAGGTTGAGAAGCCCTGTGTTAGAGGAATTGACAGGGGGCTAGTGGGGCTGGAGCAGAGGGAGGGCAGGGAGCTCTCCTGGGCTACATCCACTCCACTTGCTCTCACCCATAATGCCCTCCTTTCTTCTCTGCCCTCCCTACCCATCCCTCAAAGCCCAGCTGTAATATTACCTCCTCTGGGTTCCCATGGTCCCTGAGACATCCGTTGGCCCAGTACTAATGACCAACCGTTGGAGTCAGGAGCTGTGTCCCCAAGTGACCGGGGATTCCTCAACGGTGGGGCCATGTCTAGTTCATGTCCAGAAGGAAAAGGAGTAAAGAGATGAAAAGCATGTACCTGCCACCGACCTCCCCGAAAACGGGGATCTAGAATCCTCTCCCTCCTACTCAGAGTCATGCAACTAAGACCAAATCACAGCTGGAGTTCTTAGCTTGAGGGAAAGGGCTGGGGTAGAGACAAGGGGAGGGTATAGCATGGGTGTACCCTGCTCCCCCTCCTCCATGGGCTTCCCTTAATCTCCTCTCCTGGGGGGCTGCCCCCCCCCCCAGAGCCTCCTGCTGAGGGAGGAGGAGCCACATGAAATGGGAGGGGCCTGAGCCCTGTCTCATACTGCTTCTGCCCCCTTCTCCTCTTGGGGTTCTCTGAGTACCTCTCAGATACCTACCCCTGCAGTATCTTCTCTTCCTCCTACACCACCGCCTGCTGAGTCAATCCCTCCACTAAGGCTGAATGAAAACCACCATGGCTGCGGTGCATTGAAAAGACCTAAGGGGACAATGGGCCCCAGGCTGAGAGCTGCCTAGGGACCTCTTCCAGGGGCAAGGGAACATAGCAGAGAATTCCTGAGTGCAAATCTTTTTTTTTTTTTTTTTAAGATTTTATTTATTTATTTGACAGGGAGAGACACAGTGAGAGAGGGAACACAAGCAGGGGGAGCGGGAGAGGGAGAAGCAGGCTTCCTGTGGAGCAAGGAGCCCAATGCAAGGGCTCGATCCCAGGACCCCGAGATCATGACCTGAGCCAAAGGCAGACACTTAAGGACTGAGCCACCCAGGCACCCCTTCCTGAGTGCAAATCTTAGTGCTGCCAGTTTCTTGCTGTGAGATCTTAGGCAAGTCACCATCTCTCTCTGGGCCTCAGATTCCTCCACAAGTAAAGCTGGGACCCTAAGTTCCCTTGCCAAAGGATTGTGGCAAGGATTAAATGAGCCAGAAAGTATGAAAAGCTTTTGTGTATCCTCCTGTAAAGTATGCTTACAATTTAGTTATTGCGAGGTGGACTTTGAGCAGAAGTTGGATTTGTTCCTATAACTGAAGACTGACCTATAACCTCAGTGCGTGGAGTTTGCAGGGCCCTAGCGAGGCCCCACAGAGACAGTGAGGTCCAGGGACTGACAAGTTAAGAGGCAACTTGGCCTAAAATTCAGCCCTATGCCAACTTTGAGAGCTTTGGTATGCATTTAGTTGTTACAAAACTAAAGCTGAAGTTAAATTTAAAGAAGACATTTTTAGGGGCACCTGGGTGGCTCAGTCAGTTAAGTGTCTGTCTTCAGCTCAGGTCTTGATCTGGGGATCCTGGGATTGGGCCCCGTGTTGTCAGGCTCCCTGCTCAGTTGGCTGTTCCTCAGGACGTTAAACATACAATTGGGGGCCTGCCTGGCTCAGTCAGTAGAGTGTACAACTCTTGATCTTGGAGTTGGGAGTTCGAGTCCCACACTGGGTGCAGAGATTACTCTAAAAACATTTCAGGCCACCTGGCTGGCTCAACGTGTAGAGGATCCGACTTCTGATCTCAGGGTTGGGAGTTCAAGCCCCACGTTGGGTGTGGAGGCTACTGAAAAATTTCAAAAAAAAAGTCTTAGGGGTGCCTGGTGGCTCAGTTGGTTAAGTGTCTGCTTTTGGCTCGGGTCATGATCCCGGGGTCCTGGGATCGAGCTCCGCATTGGGCTCCCTACTCAGTGAGAAGTCTGCTTCTCCTTCTCCCACTGCAACCCCCTCCCCCAACTTGGGCTCTCCCTCTCTCAAATAAAGAAAATCTTAAAAAAAAAAAAAGAAAGAAAACATTTTTAGCCAAATGTTGAAGACAGTTTTTCACGGGTCTCTTGCTTTTCTGCATGTCTTGCACGCAGAGGCATTGACTGTCTTTGTTCTAGGACATATTTTGTATAGGCAACAACCCTGGAACACAGAGAGAGTGTTTCCCTCCAGAGTAGGGAAGGCATGCTCAGTGCCTATTGTAAAAAATTTGGATTCTCTAAGCTTGGGGCTCCACTCCTGAAAATACCCTAGTGTGTGTGCGGGTGCTATGTGGTCTTCACTGCGTCACCCCATGGGAACTGGAGCTGGGAGAATCAGTTCAAGAAAATGTAGATACTCTGGCTGCTGTGAGTAATAAAGTCCTTTGTCTCTGACTCAGGAGGCTTGTGTCTTCTGCCAGCATCCATGAAATTGGCTGCCAACTTGTTAGCTTACAAGTAGGGTAACATCTCAGTCACTTTCACAGTGCTTGATACCAAAAAAGGCAAAACAGATGTTCAGATGTTTGGAAGAAATTATAAGAGAAAAGGATACTCTCAAAAGACACCAAAATTATCTAGTCCATTACAGAAAGAAAGGAGAATAAAGGTGGTTTAGAATACAGGCGTTGGATATAGCAGGACGTGATTCAAATCCCAGCCCCACCAAACAGTGAGTTGGGCGTGTTGTGAATGGCACAAAGGTGCCAGTCTTGCTGTGGGGACCGTGATGTAGGCTGCACATGCCTATTCAAGCATGGGTCCTGGGGGTAGACCCTGGCATGGGGCTGTGCTCCCCAGAGGTGGTGCTTCTTTCTTATCTGCTTATGGTGGTGGCTGGGGGGAAGGTAAGCATAAAATACATATAAAAGTATGGTATAGACCTGCGGCTACATGCCATTAGGTGAGAGTTTGGAACAGTTACCTAACTTCTCCAAACCTGTTTTCTTGCCTATAAAATGAGAACAGTGATCCCATATTTCACAGAATTGTTTATGAACTTAGAGGAAAAAGGGGCACCTGGGTGGCTCAGTCGTTAAGCGCCTGCCTTCGTCTCAGGTCATGATCCCAGGGTCCGGGGGTCGAGCCTGGCATTGGGCTCCCTGCTCCGTGGGGAAGCCTGCTTCTCCCTCTCCCACTCCCCCTGCTTGTGTTCCCTCTCTGTGTCTCTCTCTGTCAAATAAATAAATAAAATCTTTAAAAAAAAAAGAATTTAGGGGCGCCTGGGTGGCTCAGTCGCTAAGCGTCTGCCTTCGGCTCAGGTGATGATCCCAGGGTCCTGGGATCGAGCCCCGCATCGGGCTCCCTGCTCTGCAGGAAGCCTGCTTCTCCCTCTTCTACTCCCCCTGCTTGTGTTCCCTCTCTCACTGTGTCTCTCTCTGTCAAATAAATAAATAAAATCTTTAAAAAAAATAAAAATAAAAAAGAATTTAGAGGAAAAAAATGTGTGAAAAGAGCTTAGCACAACATCTGGCACGCAGGTGGTGCTTGAATATGGGACATGTTCTTATTACATTAAAAACAATAAAATGCTACAAAATTTAAAATGTACAAAACTATATGCAGGTGCTGACAGATGAACAGGTTTGCGTAAGATACAGAACACTGATAAAACGTTGTATCTGTGTTTGCTTATTTTCTGTCTCCCGTACTCTACGGAAGGCACGGACTTTGTCGGGTTCCCTCCAATATCCCCCAACCTAGTGCCTACCTGGCTGGTGGTAGGTGCTCTCTGAACATAAACAAGCCTGCATTTCGCAGATACGCTAGAGCACAGTGTAACTAGCCAAAGAATGCTGCCTCCACCACTTAGTGGCGAATGGTCTTGAGCAAGAGTGGCTTCCCCTCAGGGAGCCTCTGTTTCCCCACCTGTGAAATGGGATAACAACAGCACCTCCCCAGAGTGTGGGTTTTCCACTGGAAGGACAGCCTGGCACCAGCCCCTGCTAGAATCCCGTCCACGAGGTGCTCCCTTCCTCCCCTCCCCCCAGAAAGCCTACCTTGAGGAGCTCAGGTGCCTGCTTCTTGAGCTTTTCCATCTTCCACTCATTCTCACAGGGGTTGAGCGAGGAGGGTGGCGCTGTGCAGGAGCAGCGGCAGTCGGTCCCCGAGCTCACCGTCTCCACAGTGTAGTAGTCCTCCACCCGGGCCTGCCCGCTGCGCACTCGGCTGCAAGCGTCCTTGCTCAGTGGCCGCATGATGCACTTGCAGCGGCAGTCGGAGCCCTCCGAGGTCATCCGCACCTGGTCCATGTCACCAAACACCTGCAAGAGGGGCTAAGATGAGCCGAAGGCCAGGGCTGGGGGGAGGAGAGGAGAGGGGGAGCCAGAGGGGACAGGTAGCAGAATCCAGTGCCCCTGGCCTTTGTGGGACGGCTACAGGTAGCTGAGGAGGTAGCAGCCCTTTGGAGGAAATAGAGTACAGTAGCCTTAAGGTAATAATACCTGAAAATATTAATGGCCACCTTGAAAAACAGTTTGGCTGTTCCTCAGGACGTTAAACATAGAATTGGGGGCCTGGCTGGCTCAATCAGTAGAGTGTACGACTCTTGATCTTGGATTTGTGAGTTCGAGTCCCACACTGGGTGCAGAGATTACTTTAAAAACATTTCAGGGCAAGGGTTGGGAGTTCAAGCCCCACGGTGGGTGTGGAGCCTACTTAAAATTAAAAAAAAAAAAAAAAGTCTTAGGGATGCCTTCGTTACGTGTCTGCTTTTGGCTCGGGTCATGATCCCGGGGTCCTGGGATCGAGCTCCGCATCGGGCTCCCTGCTCAGTGGGGAGTCTGCTTCTCCCTCACCCTCTGCCTCTGCCCTCCACTCGTGCTCTCTCTCTCTCTCAACTAAATAAATAAAATCTTAAAAAAATTTTTTTAAAAACCCATAGAATTACCAATTACCATAGGACCTAATAATTGTACCGCTAGGTAGAATTATTCTCCAAAGATTACTTCTCCAAAGAACCAAAAATAGGTATTCAAACAAAGGCTTGTATATGAATATTCACAACAGCACGATTCACAATAGTCTCAAGGTGGAACCAACCCAAATGTCCATCAACTGATAGATACACAAAAGTTGATACCTTCATATGATGGAATATTATTGAGCCATAAGAAGGAATGGAGTACTGACACCTGCTACAACATGGATGAACCTTGACAACATGATGCTAAGTGATAGAAGCCAGGCACAGAAGGCCACATGTTGTATGATTCCATTTATTAATATCCAGAAGAGGCACATCCACAGACAGAAAGCAGATTAGCGGTTGCCAGGACTTGGGAGGGGGAAAATGGGGAGTGACTGTTTAATGGGCGCAGGGTTTCCTTTTGGAGCGATGAAATGTTCTGGAACTAAGTCGTGGTGATGGTTGCACAACACTGTGAATGTACTAAGAGCCACTGGATTGTAAACTTAAAAATGGTTAAAATGGTAAATGTATGTGCAGTTTATCACCATAATAAAAGATAGGAATGAAGACCTTTCATTGGACACCTACTACATCCCAGTTTCCATGTGTATCACACCCTTTCATAATACCTGTGTATGGAGGGGCTAGTTACCTCCAGAGTCCTTACCGTGGCCTTCAAGGCCGATGTGAGCTGACAGCCTCCCCGCAACCCTATCGCTTGCAACTCCTTCCTTCTTTGGGTCACTCCACTCCAGCCTCAGGGCCTTTGCAGATGTGGTACCCTCATCCCGAAACCCTTATCCCTGGCACTCCCTTGGTTCATTCCCTCATGTTACTTTCCTCTGAGAAGCCTTTCCCGACTACCCACTTCCCCTTACTCTGTCCCCTTATCTAGTGGCTTTGTTCTTCTTTATCATACCTATTACCATCTGAAGTATTATATTTGTGCTTGCTTATTTTTTCCCTTACTCTACTGAAGGAACCATTAGAGACAGGAACTTTGTCTAGTTCCCTCCTATACCACAGGATGGTGCCTGCCTGGCCCATAGTAGATGCTCTGTAAATATCTGTTGGATCACTGAGCCTGCATTTTGCAGACATGCTGGAGCACAGGGCTAAGAACATGGCGTCTGCCACCTGAGTTAGTAGCTGTGAGATGGTGGGCCACTCAACCTTTCCCCGCCACTCCCCGAGCTGGCTCAGCCAGCCCACCCTGGGCTCCAGGCTCTTGGGACACAGCTCTTTGTGGCTCAAGCAACAAACACCCCAGGCCTCATGACTACTCAGCTCTCACTGAAGCCACCAGGACTCAGGTGAGTTCGTGGCTCTGTTGGGCTTTCTGTCCAACGCCCGCGAGCGTCCCAGAGCCCTCTGGGGAAGGGCCATAGGTACTCCATTTCTGTTCTGAGCTGTCAGACACCTGTTTGAGTCTCTGGCGTCTGTCACACCCTGGGTGACAGCTGGAGGTGTAGGAGAAATAGATTGAAGTACATTCCCGAGCTTCTCTGCTAGATGAGAAGGCAGCAGGATGGGCTCTGAGAGCACAGAGGAAGACACCTATGCCAACTGCTCAGGGAGGGACCCCTTGGGGGACATCTCTAAGGAGAAGGGCATTCCAGGGAGAGCAAACCAGATAGGTAAAGACAAGCAAAGGCCTGGCACTTGGAGAAGGTTCACTCTGGCTGGTGCTTGCGGGACCCTGGGGTGGCAGGAGGTTAGGCTGGGGTGGCAGAGACCAGCTCATGGAGGACCCTGAAAGCTGGCTGAGGATCTTGGCTTCTTCCTGGGGAGTCACGGAAGGGTTTGAAGCAGGGGAGAGCCAGGGTCAGATCTGCATTCCAGGAAGCTCACTTGGGAGGCTTTGTGGATAGACGGTGGATGGAGGAGGCAAGCCGGGGGCACAGAGCCCAGGAGGAGACATCTACTGAGAACTCACAAAGTGCTGGGGCAGTGTGGGGCAGTGGTGAGGCACACAGCCATGGGCCATCTCCAGCTGTGTGCCCTTGGGTAGATTACTTAAACTCTCTGTGCCTCAGTTTCCTCATCTGTAAAATGAGAGTACTACTAGTGTCTACCCAGCAAAGGACTGTGTGAGGACTGAGAGACGGGATACCAGGAATGCGCTCAGTCCAGTGCCGGGAGCCCACAGCGTAGTCTGTACGTTGTAGCCGTTATTATTACTGACAATGGTCCTGAAAGGGGGTTGTTTATGTGTTCATTTCTCCATGGCGATGCGGTGGTAGATATTCTCAGCAGTGTCCTACAGATGGGACAACTGAGCCCTGGAGCCATCAGATGACTTGTTCGAGGGGATCAGAGCCTGGTGTGGGTAGACTTCCAGTCCCCTGGGGGATGAGGAGGGTGGGGAAGGAGAAAGCTACGGGTGGAAGCTTTGTCCCGGGCCTTCTGTGGGTGGAGTGTACTCTGGGCACCGCGGGGCAATCCTCCCCTGCCTGTGAACGCTGACAGCCAGCCTAGGGGTCCCACACATTCCTAAGAGCTTGGGCAGTGCCTCAAGCCTGCTTTCTCTTCGAGACTCCTGGGCCCCCTTCCCAGCTCTGCTGTGGACCGCTAGTCACCCCCACGCACTCCCCAGCGGGTAGATGTGGTTGTGTTCTGTGTGGCCAGGCCACAGAGGCCTCCTCCTGGGGACCCACTCATCACCCCGGCATCCACCCCCACCGGGAGCAGCCTCCCTATCAGACTGCAACATTCCTTCTCTCCTCAGATGAGGTGCTACGTCCTGGCGGGGGGCAGCCGAGGCCCTGACACCTCAGCTGCCAGGAGCCTAGGCGAGGCCCTTCCTCTGGTGATGACTGGAGCCCGTGGTGCTTGATTGGAGGCTGCAAAGCACCGTGGTGGGGAGCCTCAAACCCCAGCTCCTCCATTCCCCTGCATGGCCTTGACCCCTCTGAGTCTCTGCACCCTCCTCTGCAAAACGGGGAGGACAACAGCCTCATAAGCCCAACCTGAGGCTGACATGAGTCCACGTGCGCAGAGCAGCCGTCACCAAACCTGGCACAGAGTCACGGCTCTTTAGGTGGTACTTGCTATCCAGGTAGCCGCCCAACCCTCCCTCACATCGGCGCGCCATTTTCTACGTCTCTCTCCTCATGTCACAACCCCCTCTTAAAGGGGAGAAATCTGAGCATCAGAGAAGACTGGAGGCTTGCCCAGGGTCAATATGAACAGCCTGACTCCAAATTTTGGTTTACTTGCTGTTCATCCCATGACCACCCATCCTCACCAGGTGAGGGCTTCTCCAACAGCAACCGAACTGTGACCGAGAAGGGGGCCCTGGGTTGGGTCGCAGGGGGGGCAGTAGAGGGCCTGGCCCACTCTGCCCTGGGCATGAGGGCTGTCCCTGCCTCAGGCCTCCCCCCCACCTCTCTCTACAGCCTCACTCAGCACACACTGCTGCCAAAGACCCCAGAAGTGTGGGTGGTTCGTGCTTAAAAACATCCCTAGGTACTTGCAAGGAAATCCTACAATGAGATGGCAAGAGGGCATACTTGAGATTTTTCCGAAGAAAGATGGATAAGTTTGGCCACAGTGGGAAGAGGGGGGGCGCGGTTCAAGCTGTGAAATGTTCCAGAAATGAGCAGATTCAAATTGTGTCACCTTGAGGTGGAGTCTTCTCTCTTCTCTCCTGGCCAGTCCCGACGCCCTGAAAGCACGTTTCCAGGTCCTCCTGCAGGCAAAGATGTCCCCCAGAGCCCACTGCCAGCTCGACACTTCCCTGAATGGCACAGGACCCCCACACTGAAGCCATCCAAAACTGGACCCGGCATCTTTTCTCAACTGATGTCTACCTACCCTCCCACCCACCCCAGGTCTCTGAGCCTCCCTTTTTACACCAGACAAGCCATCAGTCACGTTCTTCCAATTCTTTATCCTGAATATCTCCCATCTCTCTCTCCGACTCCCCGTCCGTTCCATGACCACAGCCCTGAGTTCAGACCCCATTAACTGCTTCTGGGAACACAGCAGCCTCCTCTCTGCTGGCTTAATCTCCCAAAAGCTCCTCTTTGATGATCTGTGACTCTCTTGCTCCACAAACCTCCATGGCTCTCTGTACCTCCGTGAGTTCTCACTGGGGGATGTGCCTTGGGAATTACCTAGAACGCACTTGGAAAATGCAGACGCGCTGGCCTTAGTCCACACTTGTAATCTCAGACTCTCAGGTACCCGAGGCCATTTGGATGCCTACTGGAAGCTGAGCATCCTGGAACTCCAGGACTCTCCAAACTCCTCCATCTGACTCTTTTGACCTTCAGTGGTTAAGCCTGGTCCTGGGGGCACCAGCAGCAGGGTTGTGTAAGATTCTGGATTCAAGTGCTGGGCACGGGGCTTGGCACACAGGATGTCTCTCAGTACTTTGTTCTAGGTGCCCCAGCCAACGGGAATGTCGGGACAAGAATTTCCCTGTAGAGAGACCCTGTGGGGCCTGGCGTGGCCCCACGCTCTTTGTGTACAGAAGGACTTCATTACTTGTATTCCCTGTCTGCCCTGAGCCTGTTTTCAATTACACCCACAGGCGGAAACTCCCAGAGCAGAGGCGCAGCAACACCTAAGCCCCCGGGACCAGCCCGGCCTAGAAGATCTGATGCAGCCTGCGACACGTCTGCCTGCCTGCCTTCAGCCCCCCTGCTCCCCCCTGGCCCAGTTCCCACAAGCCTTGGCCTTCCCTCTGTCCTTGGGCCCCTGGTCAGTGGCGGGGATGACCAAAGACCCCCTTTCCACATCTGGATGCATGGAGGAAGTGAGGCACCTTTCACGGATGGGGAAACAGGTAGCAAGGGGGAATTCTCAGCCACATTCCAAGGACATATTAGCAGAATGCAGGTTCCCAGAGGTCTCTGGTGCCACGCCTGGGTTTCATGTGGTTACCTGTCTGTCCATCCCAAACTCCGAGCTGGGCAGCCCCTCAGAGATGCCAGGGAAGCTGTGAACTCCCTCTCCCACTCCCATGCTGGACAAAGCACTTCCCTAGATGAAAACTCCTGTTTAGGATAGACAGACCTTGCCATAAACATGAAATGAAAACGCACTGAGTGAGGAGCTGCCCGAGACCACAGAGTTCTGTGGTGAGTACTGGGGTTGAGTTGCCCCTGTACCCCAGAAAGTATGGGGCAGGAGGGGGTACTGGACCTCCCAGGAGCAGGAAGCCTAAGGAGAGGGCCAACTTAACCCTTTAGGGCTCTAGCTAGATAGACTTCAAGTCCCAGGCTGGCCCTGGAAGGGCTCTCCCCCTCCCCCAAATCGGAGAGGCTTGAAGAGGAAGGATGGTTATGGGGGAGGGAGAGGGTGATTATGAAAACAGCTCTCCCTGTAGAGCCAGCAGGAGACCGGCTGTGCTGAGGAATGCGGAGTAAATTCACCCATCACTTGATTTTTATTTTTCCCAGCTGGCTGAAGTGGTGTGGGGTGGGAGGTGTCTGAGGGAGGGCTGTGCTGTGTCCCCCAGCTGCTTCATCCTCCAGGCTCTAGAGTACGCCTCCCTACCCCACCAGCCCCAGCTTGCCCTGGGACAACGAAACACACACACACACACACACATACACACACACACACACACACACACACAACCTAGCAAGTGTTTGGCTGACTCACTACATAAACAGGGTGTTCAGTTTTCTTTGTCTTTGCTTTGTTTTGAGTGCTAGCCCTCCTCCACAAGCTCTACACGCATGGCTCGGAGGATGCCCAGGACCAAATATTCCTCCCAGCCAGAGAGACGGGAGGGGCAAAGCGCTGATCAGGTTATGTGGGGTTTTTGGCTCACTGCTCCCCCACCTGAGCCAGGTCAGGGAATCCAAGAAGGCCCTACACGGAGAGGAAGTTGGCAGACATTGTTTTTCAGACGGGGAAACTGAAGCCCGCAGGCAGGCAGTGACTTGCCCAAGGTCACACAACCAAAGAATAACAAAGGGCCAGAACCCAGGTTTTTTGATTCACAAGCTAGCCACATCTCTATATACTCTAGTTTCTCATCTGTACAGTAGGGATGATACTCATTCCCTTCTTGTCTTTGGAGCACATGGTCAGAACTGCAACTCACTTGCTTTCATCCCCTGAGCCGGATCTTCAGGATGAGGGACTTCTGGTGCCCAGTGCTCATGCACTTACTGTGTGGCTCGTGGCTTCTGCCCTTTACCTTGCCTCTGGACAGTGCAGCCTCACCTTCTGCCCAGGAAAGAGGCTGGAGCAACATCAAGAAAAGCCACTCCATGAAGGAGTGAGCAGGGCCTTACCTTCTTCCCTCGTTCATTCCCAGTCCCATCCTTGTCCTAACTGGGTTATTTCCAGAACGCCCTCAAGGGGGCCCTGCTCTGACTGGCTCTTTCAGGTTCCCCTAGTAAGATTCTGTAATCACAGCATGATTTATTGGGCACCTACTAGGTACCAGGTGTGGTGCTACACATTTTACAGGCACGACCTCGCAAAAGATCACCAACCGTAGGAAGTGGGAACTCTTGTTATTCCCATATATATAAGTGAGGAAACGGAGACTGGCAGAGGTGAAAGGCCCAAGATCACCCAGCTGAGAGGTGGAGGGGGATTTGAACTCAGGTTGGCTTGACAGCGCAGCAGATCCTTTTAGCCACAACTGAGAAGACTTCAGGTGCCTTCTGGAAACACGGTGTCCTCCAGAGGGTGCATTAGATTCCTGGCAGGACTACCGAGGCCAGGCGAGTGACCAAGCCCACTTGGTTCATTGGGTAGGTACTCTGGGTTCCCAGCACGGCCGGAAAGCCTTGGCTCAGGGTCTGCTGCAAACCTGGGAGTCCCTGGGTAGCGGTTACCCAGGGGTCTGCCCGACGTGGGTCAGCCTCCCATGGAAACTTTGGCCCAGATTTCCAGGCGCCCTTGCCCAGCGCTCCTGGGAATCCCTAGGCTGGGGACTGCATCTCTTGTCTGCGCCCCTTCCAAACTCCCAGGCTCCCCTCTTCCTGGCCCTGGGTTTCAGTGCTGATCTCCTCCCCGCGCTGAACTGGGTCCCAGAGCCCTTTCCTGAGACCCCCAGGTCCCAAATACCCCTACCATCTCCAGCGCTTCTTCCCCCTCTCCCTGGGTCGTGGCCCAAGTGGCTTTCGTGCTGAGCCCGTCGGGTCTCCCCTCTCCTGGTCCTCCGCTCCTGGCCCCGACACCCTCCTTGGTCCGCACCCCAGCCACAGCGCCCCCTCGCGCCCGGCTCCCCGCGGAGCTGAGCCCCGGTCGGAGGGCCGCACCATACCTTACTGTCAGCGCGCACCCGGCCGGCGCGCGGCGGCAGCAGCAGCAGCAGCAGCAGCAGCGGCGGCAGCAGGAGCAGGGGCAGTGGCCGGGGCCCGGGCCGGGACAGGAGGGCGGCCGCGGCCATGGCGGGATGGGCACGGTGGGCACGGACAGCCGCGTGCGGACGCTGGGAAGCGCGGGCGGCACTGCGAGCTCGGTGCGCAGCCAGCAAAGGCCGCGCGGCGCGCCCCCCGCCCCGCGCCCCCTCCCGCGCCGCCGGGGGCGGAGCTAGGGTGGAGGGGGCATCCCGCCCCGCCCGGCCCTCTGCGGGGCCTCTTCGCCATTGGGCGGCTCTCCAAAGGGCATCCCTGCGAGGACACAAAAAAGGGTCTTGTTCCGAGTCCCCAGGAGCAGCGGGGCCGATAAGCGGAGCGCGGTCCCCACACGGACGGAGGTCTTGCTCTGTGAGATGCTCTGTGGGCGTGTCCCTTCACCTCTTTGAGCCTCAGTTTCCTCATTTGTAAAATGGGGGAAATAGTGCTCTCCTTTTGGAGTGGTTGTTAAGTTCAGATGAGTGATGTTTCCAGGGCAGGTGAGCCTTTGAGCTCTCCCAACACCCAGACCCCGCCAGCTCTACCCTTCTCACGGCTCAGACCCCCCTCTCCCGCATGTTTTTTTTTTCCTCTTCCCTCCAAAATCCCGCCCGGCGACCCCCAACTAAACTCCAGTAGCTCCCGGCTTTAAACACCCTTCCTCCTCCCCATCCTCAGGAGGGAGTGCTTCATTTCTCTGGTTCCTAGGCAGCAAAACTTTCAAAAAGGAGCCGCCTCCCGTCGCACTCCTCAGGTTCCCTGCCCATCCCCTCGCTCCATGGCTCTTCGGTCTCACGTGGAGGTGCCTTGCTGAGGTCCTCTGGAGCTCCTGTAAGCGCACCCAAGGCGGCACCTCTTTACCTTCCCAGAATCGAGAGTTCTGGATCATGCCTCCTTCTCAAACCCTCCCCTCTCTCGGTTTCTTTCGGATTCCCCGTATTATCTCACACTTTGCAGGTCCTTCCACCTCTGCGCACCCCACAGGGGGCCAGACGCCCTTCTCTTTCCTCTCCATGCTGACTCCGTAGGTGACCCTCCCTTGAACCCAAGACAGTCCCACCTGTGTGTCTGTTTACCAGCCCTTGTAAACTTCAACTGCTCAGAAAGGAACCTTTAACTGTGCCTCAAATGTCCTACCTTACCACTACTCTCAAGCACTTCCCCTCATGCATATCCCTTCCCCTGCTCCTTTTCTTCATAGAATTTACTGCCCCATGAAACTTTCTAGTTGGTATGTGTGTTTCCTTGCAACCTTTCTGCCTTCCTTTGTGGGAGGACGTACCTCAGCAGTGCACAGACCTTGTGCACGAACAGCTACCTGAGTAGTCTGGAAGTGTGGTCCCAGGAGCCTCAGCATCACCTGGGAACTTAGAAATGCAAATTCTCAGGCCCTACCCCAGATCTCAGGAAGCAGAATCTCTAGAGATGGGGCCCAGCAATCTGTTTTAACAAGCCCGCCAGAGGATTTATAATTTGAGAGCTACTGGGTTAGCACAAGGTCTGGTGCTCCCTAACTCTGAGCTGCAGCAAGTCACGTGCAGCTGGTGTTCAGTACAGATTAGCTTCTTTCATGACTAGAGATCTGGGCACGTGTCAAAACCAGGGCTGGATTAGTATAAAACATGAATATGCTGTGTGTTCTTGTTTTTTTTGTTGTTTGTTTGTTTTGTGTTTTTTTTTTTTTAAGATTTTATTTATTTGAGGGGGGGGTGGCAGAAGAGGGAGAAGAATACTCCCTGCTGAGCAGGAAGCCAGATGCAGGGCTTGATCCCAGACCCTGGGATCCTGACCTGAGCTGAAGGCAGAAGCTTAACCGACTGAGCCACCCAGATACCTCTGGTGTGTTCTTATGTGCATAGACTATCTGTGAATGGACACACTATAAACCAGTATCGTGGTTATTGCTCAGGAGGGAAACCAGTTGTTGGGAAACAGTAAGGAGAAAGGTTTACTTTTCACTGAATACTTTTTTTGCATCTGGGAATTTTGTAATGTATGCCCTATCTATTCAAATTATAGACAAAATGTACTTAAAACAAATAGAACCACACAGGGATTCTCTTTCTCAGCCTGGCTCTGGTTCTCCGGCTAGGCTCTGGAAGAAAAAGACCACTGTCACCCCAAACTCTGCCCTCTGCTGGCTGTTCCACAAGACGGCCCCACAGTCTCTGCTTTCCTCCTTTTCACCCTTCTCTGCTGCCCTTCTTTCTCTCAGCAGGCTCCAGTCCCCATGGATTCTCTCAGGTCCCACTTGGCCTTGGGACCTTTGCATATGCTGTTCCTTCCTCCTGAAACTCTCTCTCTGCTCAGTCTTACTCACTCCTACTCATTCTTCCCATCTTATTTCAATGTTCCTTATCCCGGAAAGCCTCCTCTGATCATCACCCCCCGACAAAAACGAACGCTGCCACACATTCCCGCAGCACCAGAAACTTCTAGGTGTGTTCTCACTTGTAGAACTTACGTGCACTTGTGGGTTTGTGTGGTTATCTGATCTGATTAGTGTCTGTCTCCACCACCACTGGGCAAAGCCCCCATGATGGGGCTCAAACCTGCTTTGTTCTTAAGTGTATCCCTGTTTCGTCCTGTTCCTCTGTCTGGTCCTCTGGCCTCAGGACCACTCCCCTGAAGATCCCTCCATATTCTTCGATACTTTCCTTTCCAGCTCTTCTGTCAGGAGTCCTGCCGGTGATGGGAGTCTTTTCCATCAGTCTTCCTGAGCCTGTTTCCTCATTTGTAAATTGAGGGGAAGTACTGACTTCTCAGGATGGTTAGGGAGGTGGGGAGCACTGTAGGGAAAAGATCCCATCATAGGTGCCAGGCACATGGCAGGGGCCTACCTCATAGGACTCTATATGTTTAGGACAGTAGCTGGGGTCTCAGCATATTGTCATTTCCCTCACCTTTCTCAGTTTCATGGTAATTGACTCTTCCCAAGGAGCATTTTCAGAGGAGAGGTGAATGGGAATTAGGATAGCTCTTTAACGGAACAGGTCCCATTTATTAGGCCAGGCCTTATATTAGTTGCTTTGCATGCATCATGTTAATTCTCATAACAATCCTGTGAAGTAGCGGCTCTCATTATTTTCCCTCCCTCCCCTTAGAAACCAGGACTTTGAGGCTCAGAAGTAACATGCCCAAGGTCACGGTTACTAAGTAGAAAAGTCTGATCTGTTTTATTCATCCTTTCACTCACTCGGCAATTACTTATTGAGTGTCTACTATGTTCAGGCTCTGTGCTCAGCAGCTGGGGCTATAATGATGAGGGAGAGAAGAAAGGGCTTTGACTATCAGATCTAGGAAAGCTTTCAGGAGGAAGTGGCAACAAAGCCGGAGTCTGAAGGAAGAAGATGAGTTGCTTCTAAGGGCTGGGTATTTGGCGAATTTTTTGGTCCATCTTTGAGAGTCAACTTAGAATCTGTCCACCACTGAAACCCCAGGCCTTCAGGAGGTTTCTGCAGTACCACTTAATCTCTGACTGGATCTCCAAGGAAAGGGAATTCACTACCTCCAGAGGACTGTGATAGAAAGGGAAGCTCTGAAGGCACCTGGGTGGCTCAGTTGGTTAGGTATCTTGCCTTCAGCTCAAGTCATGATCCCAGGGTCCTGGGATCGAGCCCCACATTGGATTCCCTGCTCGCCAGGAAGCCTGCTTCTCCCTCGCCTCCTGCCTGCCGCTCCCCCTGCTTGTGCTCTCTCTGTGTCAAATAAATAAATAAAATCTTAAAAAAAAAGAGAGAGAGAGAAAGAAAGGCAAGTTCTGGAAGGCCTAGGAAAGCCATATGGTCCTGACACATTTTAGAACCCAGAACTGAGGGTATGACCCAGAGGATCCATCTCCTCTGCCCCCTCCCCCTCACACCACACTAAAGGCTTTCCTCCCCCCATCTGGGGCTGGGGAATGGTAGTAGGGAAGCAATTAGCTCAACAGAGCTGTAAGGGAACACAGACAGGATCTAGATTAGATGTCCCCTGGTGGGAAGTATTTAAAAATGTGTCCCTGAGGATATATTTGAACAGGATCTTGAAAGATGAATAGGAGTTTGGGAGTGGGTTGAATGAAGCCAGCAGAGTTCCAGCTTGAAGGAGCCAAGGTGCAGGTTCTGATGTCTGACCCACTAGGGTCAAACCCACTAGGTTTGGAATCCCCATCACTGCTGGGTGACTTCATCAGTGTATCACAGAGACAATACTGGAGCTACCTCATAGAGCAGGTGTAAGGTTTGGGCAACACAGTGTTAATGTAAATCTCTCAGAAAAGTGGCCAGCACTTTTCTGATTAAAGATACAATACAGGTTAACCAATGTTGGTAAGGAACAGCCACCTTCAAAGTGCAAGGAAGCGTTGCAAAACATTCTGTGTAGCAGGTGAGGGAAGCGGTGTGATGAGAAACGTGGTCAGGGGTTAGACCAGGCAGGGGTGTGAATGCCAGGATAAGGATTTTTAAAAAATTAAGCAAGGAATGAGAGAAGAGGCAATGGATTGGTAGGGCGGGATTCAGGGGTGGTGAGGAAGGGGCAGCCACCAGGAAGCTGTGGCATGACCCGCAGAGGAGAGGCGGGCAAAGCACCAGAGCTCTTGTTCTTTGTCTTCAAACAGGCCAGGTAGGGCTTAGTTACACCTGGGGCAGCAGCCAGGATGGGTCTTTCCCTGAGAGGGTCGCCGAAGGCGGTTCCTCGGGCCGGCCCAGAGGCTGGTGGCCGTGCGCCACCTGGTGGCTGCAGAAGTTAGGCTCAGCCCGGAGTAGGGGAGACCGCAAAATCCGGCCTTTTGCTCCGGGAAACTGAGGCGGGGAGCGCGGCGGGGGTAGGGTGGGGTTTGTGATCTTTCGATTGGACTTCGTCCCTATTCTAACCCCACTTTACAGATAGGGTAACCAAGGAGAAGGGAAGGCGAACAAGGCGGGGTAAGGAGTTTCTCAAGCGGAGCGCTTCAAGACACCAGGAGTCAAGAGCCTGAGAATTTCTTTAATGGCATCAATGGCCTGGAGGTTTATTTTCCATTCTGTTGGGCGGGGGAAAATGAAAGAGGAGGAAGAGAAACCGTTGTCTT